ACCCATTTTCAGAAGCTCTAATGCATTTGATGTCAAATGGTGCGAACATGTTGAGAAATGAATGCAGGAAGGAACTTTGCTGAGAAGCTGCATTCATTGGTCGGTGGAAAACAGATAGAATCGAAATTCGTAATTTGGAGACAGAATAAGAAAAAAACCCGAAGGAAACAGGAGGAACAAACAAAGATTAAGTGATTTTTTTTGCAAGTGGAACACAATTCCATTCAGTTTCTTCTCGCTCGAAGACAATTTCAAATCAAATACAACGCAATAGCAGTTGTTGAACAAACCAACCAAGATGTAGCTGTTGAGATGGAAGTGTGTGTGTCTACGTAAAAAGATTCTATTTGACATGCAAATAGACATAACTTAAAAATTCAATGTAACCGCTTTTTTTCCTGTTCACTTGCTTCACATCTCGATCGAATCGGGTTCATTGTTTCCATTTGTTGTACGTCAGCTGTACGGTCAGTTGCTAGGCAAATTGGAATTGCTTTTATGTGCATATTTTCCCTTCTGCTCGATTGCATTCATTGGAAAGTTTTTCCCAAACCATCGTCTCTTTACTACACAATGAACAGTAACATAACAACCTCGGATAAAATTGCATTTTTCTATTTGACTTCGAAGTTCGAACAATATACGTATGGAAAATGTTCGACAGATGAACACATATTATGTTTTCGAATGTTGTAAAATCAGCACAAATTGTGGTTGACAAGTGTTATATTGTATTTGTCATTTTGCAATTTTTTTCTTTAAAACGTCAACAGCGCCATCTAGATCTTTGTAAGATTTGTACGTTATGAATGGTGTTGTGATGTAACGAAGCATATAGGAACCTCGTTTACACGACAATTTTCATACATATTTGTTCAACATTAAAGCAAAATAGCTCGGATGATTTAAGCTCCTGAATGGTTTCTTCTTGGATTTTTGCGTTAGAGCAGTAGTTGCAGCCTAGGGGAAAGAACGACTTGACGTATTTGCCGTATTCACGTCCATTTGCAAGCATTTGCATAGCGATTCTCTATGTTATTGTTGTTGTTTTCATGTTGCTTCGTCTCGTTCGTAGTGAGCAGTGCTTGCTGAGCACGAATAAGACTGGCAAATACGCATACATCTTCTAGCATTCGTTTGTCGTATTTGCACGCATTTGCACGTTCGGTTAGGCATTGGCAATATTTCCATGTTATCTTTGAATTTTTGCGTTAGAACAGTAGTTGCAGCACAACATTACTAATGTACTATATGCATGAAATTGAATAATAATTGATGGAAATCCATATTCACCATAATGAGCCATCAATATATATTCTATATTCACGCAAGAACAATTCTACACAATATTTTGAACATTCAATCAAAAATTTGAGCTTAAACAATGAATTCAACGAAAAGCTTTTAACATTTCAAAAGTTCAACATATCCATTTTTAGAATTTGTAAACGTATTTCTGCAAATATAAGGGACGATTAACTTTCCGAAGCAGAGATCAAAATGAAAACAACATTCTTCTTATGTTTGGTGAGCATTTTTTTCTCTGCTTCTTCTAGAAAAAAAATGGAAGTGGAAAGCGTAAGCAGCAGAATATGTTGCCGCAAGCGTTCATCAATTTTATTCAGTTTGAAATATTGATGACTGGGCGAATGTGCGGTCAGACATAAGCAAATATTTGCATTTTCTACCAACTTTTGTGCACTGCGCACATACCTACACCATTGAATGCGATTTTTTTTCTGTTCAATCATGGATTGAGATTGTTGATTCGGCTACTAGAAAGGAATTCAGAGATCAGATTTCAATATCTCCATTACATTGAATCGTTCAATCTCAAATGATGACTACGTTGAATTGGTACACCATAATCGAAGCAGAGTGCATAATGGGTATGTTAACTGGATCAAAATCAAACGTTTTTTAGAGTTTTTATGTCATGGCAACCGAACTGAATTTCTGCCAATTATGAAGCGAGTATTTCTGATCGATTTTTTCTGGCTTGAATAAGCTTGTAATGAGTAATAGAAGAAGAACAAAATGAAATGTGACCATTTAATTTCAACATTTTGAGCTGTGTAATTAGCATCCGCTTTTCAAAGTTTTCTCTCTAATTAGCATATAACGGTTTGCCATTTCTTATTATTCACGTTAGAAAAAAATTATAGCAACGAAGGAGTCCAATAATAGTTCCATACAAATTATGAGAAAAGTAGCTTCAGTAATAAATTCCATTTTTTATGTTTGACCAAATTAAGGGAATTTGAAAGCGACAGAACCGTAAGCAACTCACTGGCTTTCGTTTTCTGTCAACTCCTCATAATATATTTACCCAGTTTGATAGAGCTGTTGAAAAACTAATTGCGAATGGTGAGCATTCCAATTATTCTTTTTTTTTCATTCTCCAGAGCAATTCATTTTCAATGCTGCAATGATCTGAGTTTTGCGATACAGTCGGAAATGCAATGCAGAACCAACACCAACTTGTGAGCCGTAACAGCTAGTCGGACGGAACGAAATGTTTGAATAAATGGCATTTTTTTCTACTTCTATTTTTAATTTGTGATACGATGTGCGGAACTGTGTATGTTGTTGGCGAGTGCGCAGCAACAATGACCATACAACAACAGCAGCCACGATTCTAAAGTGTCAATGTTCTCGGCGAACATCTCGTGTTCGAGCGCCCAAGCTTGGCCCGCGTGTGACTGAACAAACATATACCAATTATCACAAACAAAAGGCAAAGCGGAAACGCAAAGTGAGAACATGCAAGAGAGAGGCAAAGTGTATCGAGTGACAGCGCGAACCAAACAATATTAACGCATCCTTGCGATGAAAAATCCTCGCGGCCATTTACTCCACTGTCTAGATCATGGATGGGAGCTATCAGCACATAAAATTGTGAACATACAGAGAAAAAATGCATCAGAAGCGCGGGTGGTGGACGAGTGCGCGACCGAAGGAAAAAAATAAATTCAAAATAGATTGGCATTAAATAAACTCGGTGCATGGAGTTTTGTTGAATGATGCGCGTGGCGGCAAGAATGAAAACTGCATAAATGCGGAATGAATAGAAGGCCAATGTGAAATGAGGCCTTAATTCATACAGCCTCTTTATTTGAGGGCGGAATGAGCAGAATAAAGTAGTTAATTTAAGCGTTTCTTTATCTTTTTGTCATCACATAAAATTGTTTTTGCCGTCATTTCTCCCATTCATTCGCGAATAAAATGAGGAATAAAAGAAGCGAAACCAGTCGACTCGCGAACGATGCGTGCAAAGAAAAGACCGCGTTCAAGCTGAAAACGATTTGCAGTGTTCTCCTTCATTCAGTCGAGAGTCAACGCATAACAGCCTTTCATTACGATTCGAATGGAGACATCCATCGTACGAATTTTTGCACAAAAATACATTTTTCACTAGATACGGAGTGAGAGGTACTGCGACAAATAGAAAAAAAAACTACACATCCACTGCAAAAGTCTCAATGAAAATAGCTTCCCAATCCTTTTCCAACGTTTGAATATGCACATGTGGTTGGAGCGTTGTATCCATTAGTTTACATAAAATCAAACTCATTTCATTTTTTCTCTCTTTCTCTCTTTCTCTCTCCTCATCGCTTCTTTATGTTTTGTTTATTCGAAATGGATCTCTCTCCCTCTTCCTCTTTCGCTCTTCCTTCTACATTGCATAAAAGAAAAGTTCTTTTTTTTTTATTTAAGCCTAGATAATTGCATGGATCCAGAATGTATGCAATGATCCCAATATCACATACATACGACGAACACAAAATGCGCCTTTCATCCCATAGTTTTCATTCGGTGTAAATGGCTTTTGAGTGTTGGCTTTTGTATTAAAAAAAACAGAGAGAAGAGGAAAAGCTTTAATACTCTGCGTTGTCTGTGGATCGCATTCTGGTTCGTTGGCCCGCGTGACTCAATTCCCTCTCAAGTTTTTGTTTACTCACTTCACACACAAACACAAACCTAATGTGGTCGGAACAGTCTCTGTATCTGTTCTTCCCGCTTTGCATGTGGGTGTGTACCGACACGTTGCTGCTATTCGAACAAGTAACGATCGCACAGAGAAGCTGTGCTAACAAAGAAAGGATTTGAGCATTCAAACCGAAATGAGATGAACATTACATGCAGCAAACCCATCTGAATACGTTAACGCTATCTAAGAAATCGTGTCATGTGCTTGATGAAAAAGCTCAATCAACATTTTGTCGCTCAACGGTTTCCTGAATGTTTGGCGATTGTATTCGGTAATTGTGTACTGATTTTGTGCCAGAAATCAACGATATATGGTCCAGTTTCGATTCCAAAAATACACAAACTCATTCAAATGACAGCTTTTTCGGTTTTATTCACAAAATTCCTGGAGTTGAATGGAAATCATTCTATTTTTGTCATTCCTGCACTACCATGAATTATTTCAAAGGGATTCTGATTCATAGAAATCATCAGAAGTATGACGAAAGCGACATTAATTCCGATTGAATCGTTTCCGCGTAAATTCATTTAAACTACAAAAATAAAGCAATGCACTAAAGTCCAGTGTTTTTCATAAGACTTTGATCACACTGAGTGTTTGAAGTTCTTTATATGTGCGATGGCATCAAGAGATGGGATTTCTTCGGAAATCCAATTCATTGCATTCGATTTTTTTTTCGCTCGATATTAATCTTCATTCACACATTTGACTACTTTGAAATTTCTCATAAACATTTCCTTGGAATGTCAACAGTTTGCCAAAAAATATAAATATTCGTTCACAGTAGTAAATAATTTATATTTGATATTATCACTTTGGAACTAATATAATCGTGTGTGATATTGAAATTCGGATGCCATATGTTCAATATTTGTTTATTTGAAAAGTCACCTACTGATTGTTGTGTAATTTTTCACAATTTTATGAAAATGGCCGATCGTAAAATGCGACTCGGAAATCGCTAGCAACAAAAAAAAAAAATGAAAAGGAATACAGGAAGAATACTCACCAATTGTAGTTATTAGTGTGATTGAATACAATAATGCCGATGCATAGGTCCATTTATGCGGTTTTATTGATGGTTGGATGCCAGTTTGTTGAATCTTCGTGGCTCGCACTGAGCGCAGAAGCATATCCTGCATTGGTGTGAATACACACACAGAAAAAGAGCGAACAGAGGAAATAAATATACAACAAAAAGATGCAAATGATGGCAGAAAAAGTGGAATTTCCAAATAAATAAAGCCGAAAGCAAAACAGAGGGAAAATATTATGTGAATAAAACAGTGTGCATGGAGTATGGTGTGTGTGTGTGGTGCTTTTTCTGCCGCATTCGTCAAATTCGCCTGGTAGTAGCTATCCGATTTCCGTTTGGAATGCTTTTTTATGGATTTTCATGAATAAATCAACCATCTTTACGGAAGTTCTCCACATTTGCTGCTTTATGAGATTCAGTGTTTCATTTTTTTTTCTCGTCTTCTCTTATTTATTTTCTTCATGGAATTGACTGCGAACAGATCAAACGTCCAACCAGAAGGAAAACTCCTTATTTTGCTATTTTTGGAGTGTTGTAAAAATAATAAGCAAGCTAAGAGCTGTTCCATAAAAGAAATTCACATCAAAAAGTAAATGCGCGCCATCGCATTCGCATTCGCCTTCGTCGTCATCTCACGCCGCACACATGTGCTATCGTCTTGTGAGCAACAATCCAAGAGACCACAATGTCGTCGTAAGAGCACGTACACGCGTAAGACGGTTAACCACAACAAAAAAACACATGCATCGCATAAAAGTGGCATAACAATGGAATAATGTTGGTATAATTTTTGATCATTATTCCATAAGTTGTGTGACATTGTCACCATGAATAATCACAAACAATGGCGAAGCATGAGCGAACGGGCGCAAAAATGATGGCGCAAAATGTTTGCACGAATTACGACGCCTTCGTATTCGGTTGATTTTTTTTGTGTATGTGAGGCGTATGCTCAATCCCGCTGTGAATAAAATGTGGAGCGGGCGCATTTTTCATTCAAAATGGCTTGAAAGTAGCATCATTATAAAATTTTACTTGAATTCATGCAGAAATAAAAACGCACACGCACACAGCAACCATCAATCATCATTTTAAACTAAAACAAAAAAAAGTTAAAATGAGTAAGTTTTGTGCCATGTTCACATTTAGAATGAATTCCAACGGAAACGTTGCATATTTTTCTTTCGGTGTGATTAAGCCAAAATGTTGAAATTTCTTTGAAAATAGCCAACACAAAGACATACATACGCAAACAATTCCTTAATTACTTGCAAACGAACTGATGAGCAAAATGAAATTTTCTGGCATTAATTTTGTTTGAGATTGCATTTAAAAGTTGTGAATACGCTTGTTACTTTTATGGAATTGCAATTGGTGCAAACTCGACTATCGGTTGGTTGAGCGCATTGTGAGACGAGAACGAAAGGATTGAACGGAAGCACTTCTGACCAACACACACACACACACACACACCACATACATGTGACCATCTTTTGATGGCCATTTTCACACATGATTCCAACAGAAACAACAAAAATAAAACTATTCGTATTTAAAAGTTTCTGATGATTGTGCTGCAAATTCCCCGAAGAAAATTAATGGCATAGTTTGTACGCTGTTTATAGGTGCAGAAGAAAAAGATGAGCACTTTGATTGAAAGAGAATTTCCATTCAGCAAGACAAAAAGGAAAACGTGAAAAGGGGAAAAGAGAAAAAGTTTGTGCGATTGATGGCCAACGAGTGTATCTTCATTTATATTACATTCGCAATAAGTAAATACGGTGAATTGTGGCCACTTTAACCGTTAAACAACTTCACAAACCGAATCCAAACTCGTCAGCAACTCGCAATGAAAACTAATGATTTTGCTGTAATGAAAACTTTTTCCACTTTGTTTCCGATCAATTTTATGAACCTCTTTCTCCGGTTCGTTCGCTTGGAAGTAAAACTTTAATCGAAATACGAATTGGCGAAAACCTCGAAGGCTTATACTCTGTTTGTGGGTGAGTGTATTTGTGTGTGTGTGTGCGCGTTTCGGTTTGGCATCGAATCGATTTCGATTGATGGGATATTTGTTTTTCGATGGAATAACTCGAGAGAAACAAAACGCAAAGCTACTTATGTCCTTATGTAGAAAGTTTTCTGTTTTTGTTATCATCGAAAATAACAATAAAACTTTTTTCACCTTCTTAAACAATCTGTCAACACATATACATTTTTTATACCGTTGTCCAAATTGACGATATTGGAGGGTCAGGGGTATAAAATTCATAGCCAATCGTAAAATCCGATTTCAGGTTGACTTCTCAAACAGTTTTCCAAGACAATTGGAACTTTTTTCTTTGTGGCAAACGCATCAAGGTTACATGGAATGCCATTTGATGAAATGATAAAAATGTGTGGCGATACACGATAGACGCAGCAGAAAGTCGTAAAAATTCATTTGCTTTGTTGGAATGGAGCTAGTGAAAATGGTAAATTAATGATATCGCTTACCTGAAATTGTTGAACTTCTTTCGCTGCCAGCCGAGTCCAATTTTCCTTGTACAAGATATTTAGATCCTCTGTAATCGACCACAGCCTATCAACCGTTCTGCAAATAAACAGACGAGAAAAAAAAACCGTAATTCAATTTCAGTGTTTTACGCGGGATTACTATGGAATTTAACGAGTATTTTAGTGCTGGAATGTTTTCCGATGAAATGTGACACTCGGATGAATTATTATATCAAATCCACCGGAAAGAGAAAAAAAAGAACTAAAGCCCATGAAACACAAACTTAATCTAATTTATTGAAATCCAGCGAACTATTTGCATAATCCGTAGTATGTGCTTTTGCTGTGCGCGTATAATAATTTGTGGTGAAAGTAAAAATGTCAATTGACACAAAAACCTATATATTGAAGTTGATGCCAAAGCGTCTTCTTTCGCTCACATCTCAACTTTCGTACATTTTTCAACTGTAAATTGCACCACATATCATCATGTAAGACATTCGAAATTTCAAGCGACCCAATGGTAACAGAGCACAAAACAGCAGTTGCCGCACAGTGTTGCCAAGATAGAGCAACTCTGAAAATGACTGCAAGAAATCTAATGTTCGTAATAAATCAAAATGACATAATATAAACAAAAGTGTTGTCATCAAGTTTTATGTCCTTCACGTCTACATTAACTATGTGTGTGTGTGTGTTTTGTTTGTGCTATGTGTTACACAATTTGGGTGAAACATTCAAATTTGGGATTTCTTTTTCTGGCCATGCATGTATGTATCGGTGAGAAAAAAGAGAAGAAGAAAAATGTACCGTAGAAGCAAAGCCACAAAAACAGGTAGCAAAAACCGGTCACAGACAAGTTTAACGGAATCTTGGAAGGCAGACTCTCGAATAAAACATTAAAATGGTACACACAATGTGCACAGTCAGTTTGAAGATTGATCTACGCATAAAGTTTTTTTTGCCGTGTGTTTAACGCAACGTTGAAAACTTTTCACATTTTCTACTTGCAAAGAAAAACTACAAACACCGTCAGTCGCTGATGAGGCTCCTGCTATTCGCAAATGAGAGAAAGAATATGGATGCGTTGCAAGAGCAAGCTACACGCATTTCAATGTGGCGGTTTCCGTGGTTATCTCCTACACGCTCATAGTCATGACGTTGTTGCCAAAACAAAATGCAAAAAATACTTTTTATTGCTGAAAATATGTACGGTTTCCGCTAAAAACTCATTCAACGTTTTGTGATAACATTAAACTCATCAACGATAAAAATTAGCGTCATGCGACTTTTTTCCTCTTCTTCTCACGTTGGTTTCGCCGTCGACAGTGGCGGTACGCCCCATATCCAATGAAATATGCATTGCGTTCTGTTGCCACACACTTTGTCTAAAAGTTGCGACAAACATATAAATTTATTGCTTTCATACATTTTGATGTGTGGCATCGAATTTATTTTTCATAAAACACACAGATCATATTCGGCGAAAAACATGTTATTTCTTCATTTTCCAAAGGAATTGAAGGAGATAATATGCATGATGGCAGCAGCAGCGAGTCTCAAGCTTCATTTAACATGATAATGTTGGCAAATGTTTCAGGATTTCAGCCGTGTTCAAAAGTTAACCGAGTCAACGTAGATCTCAGATTTTTGACAACAGCGAATCGATGCCAAACAGCGAAAGTCAGACTTTTTCGCCGGTAAATCAGGAGATCAATTTAAATTAAATGCACAAAGAACACCGTCGTTTCCATGCCATTTCAAAGTTTTCTCTTTCCCCTCGCAGCCTTTTTATGGTCGTTTAATATATAAAATGGAATTTTATGTAATTTAAATTAAATTTTCATAATTTTCAGCAGGAATCGAAAAAAAAAAACATTTGAAAGTTTCGCATCATTTGAATTACTCAATTCGCTCGCGCTCATAAACATAAATGGTCGATTCGAGCTTTTATTTTAATGTTAACGCATAAAATGATTTATGCAAATTGAGCGAACTTAAGTCACGGCACTGGCATTCCGTGGGTATTTATGTGATATGCAAGTGGCGTGCCCAATTCAAGCAATTACGTCTTCACAAAGTGAAGTTTTATTGTTCCGTTTCTATTTTTTCATCCATGGCATCCATTTGAATGCCCTTCAATATTTCAAGGAAAAAAGTATTTCTTAACATTCCTCGAAATGGTCGTATAAACAACTCTTGACAACCTTCGTGAGTAGTATTAATTCACAATAGTCGAATCAGAATCGATAGATGCATCGAATGGCTTGGCTGGGCTTGGCTTGGCTTGGTTCGAGAAAAATCAGTTTTATGTTTTGATTTTTGTGCAAAAAGTGTTTCTCGTTGTGAACAAGACAAATGACTGAAAACCTTGAAGCGAAATATAATAAAACGCTAAATAAGTTTGCTCATTCAATCACTGCAAAATTGGGTCGATGAAGCCAAAAAAGATCTGCCTTTGGATGTGATGTTAAAATTACGAGGAATGAAAAGAAAAACCAACGAGCGCATTGCCTGAAACTCAGTTTTCGAACATGAAAGTGGTGAGACGCGATGAAGAAAGAGAAGCAATAAAACTGAGGAAGATATTAAGAGAACAAACCACTGCAATATAACGAACTACTACTGCTGCTGCTGCTGCTGGTGCAAGCATTAAAACAATGTCGAGTGGGAATCGCGCGTTTGCAATTGAAACTATTTTCTTTATTTCGGTTGGAAATTTTATTTGCATTTCGTCCCCGAAAAATGCAGATGCTAAGATGGTTCGGTTTGAAAGTGTTTGTGGATTTTTATTACGCTTCTTCGTCTACATTGCAAATGCAGTTGCAGCAAAACGACGGCGTCGATGGTGGTTGTGATGGCATCAGTTCACCAACAATGAAACGTTTGTGCGCGAAATAATTCACCAAGCGGAATTCGCATCAAAATTTACGATGAAAATGCCGACCTCGCTGACATGCTTTATCGCAAAACTACTGAAACTTGCTCACACACAAATTTCGTGGTACTTTTGGTTTTCCTTACTGGTTTTGTGGGGACAGTGGCGTCGCCGACAATATCTTAAGTTGCAGCTGCAAAACCATTTCTTCGCTTCAAACTTGTCGAGAAAAGAAACATGCGCCACAAACCGTTCGTCGAGGTGAAGAAAAACAAAAATTGTGTGTGTATATATATCAAGATGAAGCATGCGACAGGATGCAACGCGTCGAAAAATTACGATGGCAATAATAAAATATCTCATTTGCTGTAACATAATTCACCACACTGAACGAGAACGAATAACGACAAATGAAGAAGAGAAAACGAACGAACAAACGAACCAGAAAGAAATGTTATTTTTCTGCAGCGAAACTCTCTTAGTGGTGTTTCGGAAGTGACTCAAATGAGAATCTATCACGCTATTTGCGGTAAAGTTCGATCTCACTTTTTTTCTACCAAAAAAACAACAACCCAGTGACAATGAACAGAAGGAGCCCCTTCTTTCGTTCCATCTTTTTCTTCGGACTTTTTTTTTCCCCTTTTCGTTCAACATACTGAGGAAAGTTGATTGCGTTAAAGCGATTTATGTTGCCCGCTGCTTCAACAAACAAAATCAATCTTTTTGCACTTTTTCCAACGAATTCCTCCCATCTCAACAAGCTCAGTTTTCCGGCTAAGAAATTACATTGCGAATTCGATGAACACATAAATTCTTTTCCTGGGGCGGACAGCAAATACCACATAAATCAATTGAAGAGATATTGAAGTCACAGTCGAACAAATCCATTTTCATTCAATAAAGTATATGCAGTTGTTATCACAATTAAGTTTTTGTTACTCATCATTTGTTGAAACTTTTCTCCCCGAAGACATTTATATTAGCTAAACAAAAGTATGGCTTCTAAGATCAATATAGATTTGCACCGAATGAAATTCAATTAGATTTTCTCAACCAAAACGAATGTATTCGAAATTCGATGGATTTTATTCTGATTTTAATACACCTTCTCCGAACTTCCCGATATTTTCCATAAAAATATCTCTGATTCAAATGATGGAAATGGGTGTTTTGAGCTTACCTGGAACGAATGTCAGCATTCACTAAGTCAGTTCTAGGCTTTGATGCGGCCACAGCTGTTTCAACCGTTTTCCCCATATCCTCTTCACTCTCGAGTGACATAAAGAGAATCGAACCCATTGCCGAGTATGTCAACAATAAAATCATTACTCCTGCGAAAAAGTCATAAAAATTAATTTAAAGCCGAAACATTAATGAACTATTTATATCAAATTATTAATAAATCTCATTAATAATTCGATAGAACTGAAACAAAATAAATATGAGAATCATTTTCAGCAATTTAATTACTTTATTGTGCACATTATTGTTGGCCGACCGATAAATGAATTGTTCAATCGCTAGTGGTCGTTTGGCATATTTCTGTGAAAAATAATCATTTCCCAATGCAACTACCATTCATTCTACTATTGCTTGCTCACAATTTCAACGACGCACCTTAAAAGCGATATTAAATAAGAGCAAACCTAGCTGGTGTCCAATTGATATTCATTTAATTCAATGCTAATTCAGTCCGTTCTCAAATGCAATTGACAAATTGAATTCCTTTGAACAGAATCCATGGGGGGGATATTTTATTTGGCATGCTAACACATTTTAGTGGAGTCAAGCTGCTTCAAAAGCGTATTCTCTCTTTTTCTCCCGGCGAAGTTCCGTTCGATCTTTCGAGCATATTGCATTTTCAAATGAGAATATGAATGTTCTTTGAACATCAAACGTATCTGTGCTAAATGAAACGCAATTTGCATATAGGGAGAATGAGTGTCAAACGGATAAATCGTATGTGCTTTGTGATTTGTCGAAGTGGGTTCGAAAGCGAAATTGAGGAGCGCGCTTTTCATTTTTTCCGTGTGTTGTACGATGTTGAATGGTATGCAACGGCCATAATAGCATCACACGATGGCACAAAACAAACAGCACAACCCAATGTTCGATAATTTTAAACATGGATTGGGACTAGTTCATTGAACACAGCCAACGAAAAAAATGCAAAAGGAAAAAAAATGTTCAACGAAGGAATAACGAAATAATCGAGAGATGCCATGGCATGAAATGGCGTGGCGTGGCGGCATGTGATCGATACGATGCGATGTGATGCGAGTGCGAACAACAAAAACAACGACGATGATGATGGGGAAATTAAACGAAGAATGAAAATGAGAACGAAGTCAACAGATTAAATTTCCACTTGATGGCATAATATTAACAGCAAATGACATAAAGCAAGTGTTTTATGTTCATCGAGCTGTGAAATTCATACATGCCCACATTAGTCTCTCTATCTGTACATACACATCCCGATGCTATTTGGATGGGTTGTCGAAGCCGCATTTATTTATTTATTTTTTTCTATTTATTCCTCTATCTCGGTGAACGGCTACACACTGTGTGCAATAGAAGTGCGGATTGGATTGCTTACGGCTACTCGATGCGTGTGCACGGTTGTTTCAGAATGTGAGCGTGTGTGTGTGTTGGGTACAGAAGATCCGACACATGCCACAGAATGATGTATAATGGAATTTCATAAGAAAAAATTAACGCCATGCGCAGAGTTTGATATGAAAATAAATATGAAATTGAGTTTTCAGCCAAGTAACATATTAGGAATGCTTTGATGCGATGTCAATGTCAATGCTGACACTAACAAAATCATTTATTTATTTTCTCTCTGGCTCTGTGTTTGCACACTTCCGATTTGTTTTGCGGTTTGTTTCAATCTGAACCATGTGTTTTTGTCACAAAAAACAGTCGCATCTAGCGGAAGCAGAACGCTGGCTTATGAGAAGTGTCATACATTTCTCAAAGGAGATAATTGGCTTTTTGGATTTGTTCTGAGTCGATTGAGACCTGTGCCAAGTCTGCAGATAAACGACTCGGTCGACTGAAATAGCTCCACCGTTTTTTTCGGTGCTTATCTTGTAGAAAAGTTGACATCGAGCCCACGCCTCTAGTAGCTATATATAGATGAGCAAACGGCGAACAAATGTGGATGTCGTCACGTCTAATGTTCACTTCGTTCGCATAATATTATGTCGTTACGTGAAATGAATCAATCTGAAGCTTTCATCTTAAATGCGTGTACAAAATGCCTTTTTTGTTACTTTGTGTTCATTCCCGTTAAGCCAAGAAGCGAATGTCTTAAGCCAACGGAAAAATAATTCGCCATCAGCTTAATGATTGTAATAAAAGGAGAAGAGAACGAGCAAGTAAGCGAGCGAGAAAAAACAACAACACAAGTACACTTGGTATGGCCCAACAGAAGCAAATAGAGCGTTGAGTCACAAACAAACAAAAATATAATCGACGATGCCAACCATTCTTTTACGACACATAAATACGAAATCGGGAAATTGCCCCATGTGTGTTAGTGTGCGTGTTTTTTTTTCTTCTTCTTCAATGCGTAGACGAATCTCTCCGGCCGGAAAGCATTACATTAAGCAAACGTGTGTTATAACTGCAATGTCTACGATATCCCGTAGTTCTGGCTGCGAGTAACTGCAACATTGCTTCAAATCATTCATACATAGTGCAACAAACTGTGGAACAATGCACACGGCCCTCACATTTCAAGTGGAAAATCAACTCACTGAACATAAATAATAATAAAAAGGAGTTAAAACGAATACCTAATAAAATGAAATGTTTTCGTTCCAAATCGTTGGCGGTTCGACCATTTTCATTCGGCAACAAGCAAGAAAGCGACAGCAAGAGAGACAGAGACAGAGAAAGTGAACGGGGTAAAAATGGCAATTCAACCATAGTGACAGGCCAACGGATTTGCTCAAGTGCACATGGGAAATTTCGCATTGAAAAACTCATTCTCCATTTAAAATGATGAACGATTTGCTCTCGGTTGGCAGAAACACATAAATACACGATTTATTAGCGACTATAAATCAAAATCAAAAGTATTTCTGGTTATAAATACATCATTTTCTTTGTTTTCTGTACGAATTTGCACTACTCGTAAACGTAGTCATCGTTTGCCGTATCCGTTCGACCAGAAATTGATATAAACGGTGCAGACGGTGTGAGCGGCGCTTGTAGCACCAGCATAGAGCGAGTAGAAGAGTCGCCGAGGTCGGGCGAAAAATAGCAAAATGTTTCAGTGCGAAAAGCCAAAGGAAATGGAAACGTCGAAATCGAATGAGCATGGAAATCAAAGCAACATTTTCACTCTCAACGTATCCAACGGATCGTCGACAATAGACGCTACGAACAGCAACAGTAAATTATACCACAATTTATAAATCACATCAACAGACCGAAAGGGAAAAGGATTGCTTTTTGATGGCACTTATTTCTCTCTGGCATTCCGATTGAAAATGTCCGAATCCGTCGATAAAATATTGAACAATTATAAAATGATAGCTTTTTTATGGCACCTTTTTACCTCTCTTTTTTCACTTCAAATGGGATGTTTTTTTTTCCTTCATTGAATTATCAATTAATAAAAGTTGTAATGCAATCAAACGGTGTCTGCAGCGAACAAGACGATCGAAAAGGTCGCATTCAATGTCATTTTTTGCATTTAATCTTACGATACAACCGAACATTTTTGCTAATCAACGTTCGTTTCGTCGGTACAAGTAATTTTGTTACGCTTCAAAACCATGGTCGATGTAGTTAAATCGATTTTCACATCGAGCAAATAATTCGGGTGTGACACAAGATTAAGCGTTATGTTGAGGTGATAAAACCATCATTAATGAATGGAATAGATGGGTTCAGCGACCAAACTTCATGTGAGCTTGTCAGTAAGCAATTTATCGATAACATTTAGTTTCACTCTATACAAACTAGGTACATATATATATGTAGATGCAATGAGTAGGTACATATATATATGTAGATGCCCATGCGACTTTGCGAATAATTATAATTTACTGCTACGTACTAGGGAATTTCAGTGGAACAACAGAGGAAGTTAAATCCCTTTAATCTCGGGCGTTTGGCGGTCCACATAAATTTCGAAATGAAGCTAAACCAATTACTACCGAAAACATTGTACTTACCGATTGCCGATACACAGCGTGATTTGGAGGTCCGACGGCAGCCACACAAGCCAATATTTTGGTATGGATCATCGTATGGGTGATAATGATGATGATGATGATGACGATGCTGTTTCTTGTTGTCACCACCACTACCACTGTTGCTGCTCCGACGCGTTGAAAAGCACAGCGTTGGTGGCGGAGGGCTCGGTGAATCCCGATTCATACTTCCAACACCAACACCACTTTGTTTATTATTCATTTTAATTTCAGCACAAAAACGAACGCACAATCCAAAACTAACGTTTCATTTGTTGGTCTTTTTGTGGTTTTTTCACTAAATTTACAGTCACTTTAATCAAATCGCACATTTCAATATTTGTCTATTTTTCACATTTAATTGATGAAGACGAATTTCTATTTTAAAAGAGAAGAAAGAAAAATAAATCATTTTTTTTTGGGATTGCTGATGAAGGCATGTATGGGAGAATGAATTATTTTAATTATTCGATTTAAATCAAATTATAATTGACGGTATTTTTCTATTTTCTTTGGGTCTTCATAACTGAATCCTTCCAAATTCACATCCCTTATCTTGTCTTTTTTCATTTAATCTCAACATGACACTAGAACGCCAATTCGAAAGTGTGTGTGAGAGAGAGAAAGGGAGAGAGTGTGTGAAAAGTTTGCGACGTGCACATATTTAAACTCCAAGATCAAAAAACATAATATTTTAATTAAATTCATGAATCTTTGCCAAGCTTTTTCTTGTTCACCGTATCAAAATTGTGATAATACACGGAGCCGGTTCAAAAAAAATTCACTTCTCTTTCGAAGTTTAATCGGTGGTGACTTTAAATAACGCCAAACAATTTATTTAGCAGTGAATTAATTTTACCTCACAGCTATTTTCAGCCGAGAAAAAAATGGCTCAGTTTTGCAGTGTTTCATTCGTGCATATATGAAAGGATGAAACACCGAGGGAAAACTACCTTGGAATACCATCCATTTATGTCCATTGTTCGATGGATTGTGCACGTCAATTGTGTTTGTTTTTTTTCGGTACACATCGTTCACCACGGTACGACAAGGGATTAATTTGAACAGTGAAAATGAAAATTCAGGTAGCCGGGCATACCTTCTCTCTCTCTCAATCGCTTCATACTCTAAATGATTTCCATTGCTTCATTCATATGGTGTGTATGTAGGATGTAGTTGTAGGTGTACTGTGTACGCAGAGCATGCGGGGGAGTGTGTGTGTGTGTGTTTGGTTGAGAATTGAACACTTTTGGAATTGGCCTCTGAAAAATTTATGCTCTGTGGTCTCATCAAATTCAAAATTCCATGCTGACTACGTTGATAGTCCGTACATAACCAGTTTATATTTAATCACATGAGACCTGAACCACCACCACCACCACCACCACCACCAGTAGCACCATTCACCAGTATATTGCAGGTAGAGAATCGAATGAACGAGTGAAATGTGAGCCGACGAAGAATTCCATACCATTCGGTAAATAAACGGGGTTTCATGCTGAAAATGACAATCATGTCAATTGCTGCATGTATCTTGTATGGTGGGAACGCAATTCGCACGAATCATATTTCAATTTGGGAAATCGAAAACCCAACGCAGCAGGCTAACAGGCGTCGTTGAAACCGAATTTTACATGCAGTTTGGCAAAATGCGAAAACAATTGTTTGAAAATGAAATGTGGTACGATTTCAATTTGATATTTGTTTTCCCTTAAAGTACAATCGAATCAATTCACATTATTTGAGCATTGTGTTTTTGGTTTTAGAAATCATTTCGCCCACACATTCGCTAAATTTCTCAAACAAACGCTGGTCGGGCGAGCTGGGAAAATCGTACGCAATTTTCGATTTTTTGTTCTCTCTCTTTTTTATGATGATGTTGACTGAATGAAGCCGATATACCACAGAGAACAACTTGGCAAAAGCATTTCCGTTTTATTTCGTAGAAGAAAAAAAAAACAAATAAACCGAAACCGGACCATTGTGCAAAATGCAATTGGATCGGCAAAATTAGAGAATGGTTTGATGCGTGACATCGAATTTAATATTGACTCTTCGTGTGCGAATCCAATCGATTTCGTGGCAATCTATCTCTTGCTCTTTGTCTCGTTTTGGAAACGACCATTTTCGGATGTGCTCACCGAGTCAAAAGCATATCAATTCATGATGCTTGTGTGCAATAATTTGATTTCGTATGCTATGGGAAATGTATGCGACAGCGATATCAAGCCATGCGATATAAATTGTAAGTGCTTTTTGCTACTGGGTCAAATGAAGCCGTTAAACAAGTCTGCGTTCATTTATTTGTAATCGTGTTGTCGCGTACATTCATTTTATGGATTGTCAATTGTCGATCGCGCGAGCGCCGGTATTGTTTGCTTGTTGGTGAGGTAATTTTGCACTCGACCATCGGCACTGTGTACGCCAAAGAGATGGGGAGAGAGGTGCGTGTGGTAGATGGGTTGTGCTAAAAATTAAGTCAATTGTTCAAGGCTTTTAAATTAAAGCGACAAATGAATCGCATTCGATTCATTAAACATACGCAAAGCCGATTGAATTGGCCAAGCGTGTGAAACAGCGGCATTGGCTGCTGGTGCTGCTTTAAAAAAATCATTAGGTTCCTTTTGTTTTCCGTCCCGCTTTCGATGGAAACTCAATTTTACCCATTCACTAAATGAGATTTTCTAACGCAATTCGATTCGGTTAGTTGTACGTGTGTAACGTGCGCATGGCTTAGTCTCGTAACGTATAACAGAACGTTGTCCTGCTCGCGCGCATCTCCACCGCTTATAGAGCATAATAGAAAAATAGAATTCATGCTGGACTAAAAAAGAGTAAGTGTGTGTGTGTGAGAGAGAGAGAGAGAGAGAGAGAGAGAGAGAGAGAGAGAGAGAGCAAAAGTCTGAACGGAACCGAACAAATATAAATTGGTATATACCTAAATAATACACGCATTCGCCATTTCGAAAATTAGTTTTCGTTTGCTTTTATCCTTTACACACTAACAGCTAAATGGATTCAGAAAATACATCCGTTGCGACAATGAATTAAATCGTTTTATGTCTGTGCACTCATGGGTTCAATTACACGACGCTTTTTTTCCTTGTCCGATGTTCGCTTCAAAAACGATTTCGCTTTGTGTGTGTATGTGTCTCTGTGTCTCTGTGTCTTTGCTCAATCGAATTTGTAACGCGTGTTTTTTTTCGTTCTCCCTTCTTCGTTACTCGAAAATGTATTTTTTTGATGTCGGTTTTTTTCTGTGTCCTTTTCGCTCGCCTTTTCGCACTCGCAACAATAGTAATCGTTATAAACGGATTGTGTCGCACATCGGTTTCAGTCCATTTAAGAACTTTCTTTCATTTACATCGACTGCGTAACACTGACATCAATGCACCAATAAACGATCGAATCGATAAATAAAATGTTTTCTATTGTTTCGATTCTTCGCATCGAAATTAATGTGAATTGCAAATTACAGGCAAATAACAACACTGATATTGAGCCATTTTCGATTATATTTTTTCAGTCGCCGAGATTTTCACTCTGTCATCGAAACCATTCAACTGATCCCCGTTTGCAGCTTACTGGACCTGAAACGAAATAAAGACAAGAAGAGAAGAGTGAAAAAACGAGAATTTCAATACGCATTTCAATCAACAATTGAAACACGTGTTTTATGGATCAGAAGCAATGCTATTTAAAGGCCATCGCTACAGGAACAAAACCATTTAACAACAACAATAAAGCTGGATGAACAAGCACAAAAAAAGAGAAATCGATGCATATCCCATTTTATCTATGCATAGTTGGCGAACAGGAATGTGTGTACCGATGAAGCAGAGCGAAAAAAAGAGCCAAAGGTCTTCGTTGTTTTTTTTTTTCCTAAATGGATTCCATTTTACTATAAACGGTGCCAGCAATTTTCCTATTGTGCGCTGCGTTTTCGGTGTGCTTGACACTTAACATTTGACACTCGCCGATTCCCATTCGAACGAGATATACTCGCCCATTCTAGATTAGTCAAATTCAATGTTTTGAGCTTTTATGGCGAAAAAAATGCTCCCCAATTCTCTTTTACCCTCAGTCTCCCTCTTCACTACTGATTTCATTTTGTTCGGACATTTTCTAGCCTTCTTTATTTTGCGTACGCATTTTTTTCAATTCGAGCTTTTGGGACTACGTTGCAAAGGCATCAAAGCACCGTCCAAATGAAAACGGTCAAAATACTGGGAAACCCATGAAGCAACATCCAGTCTGCGTTTCATATGCTATAGTCCGGCCCCATCAAATCGAAAGCAATAACGAGACCAGTAGAAAAAAAATTTAATGAAAAAGAAACAGCAGAAAAGCGGCGAGAAGCAAACTTGTTGTACAACACATTGAAAATCCCCATTCGACGCTTGCCCTCAATGATGTGAATCAATGTTGTTGTTGCTCTTTTTTTCTCATTCAGCACTTAATGTGATTCCTTTGATCCTGATTGTCTATGTCTAGCCTTTGGCTCAACAGTATAGCCACTTTTATGATTTTTTTTTTGCTTTTCGGAAATTTCCAAATAACCTTTCGCGCTCAAGCTAGCAGGCGGGCAGACAGGCAGGCTGAGCAGATAGGCCACTTTGCGCTTTGTATGCAACATACGTGTTAATTTATTGGAGTTACTTTTGTTTATCAAATGCCAATGGGCGTCGAAACAATGAAATGAAAACAATGAAATCAAACTAGATAAAACTAAGTGAATCAACGCGTCGAAGCAAAAAAAAACAACAACAACAACCAGACACGCATATTTCAGTCGGTCATTTGAAGTGGTGTTAAGGTTTCATTTTCTCACTTTTGTTATCTAGTGATGCGTTGCAATTACGTAAGTCACGTAATCACAATACATGTGGGAGCGAAGTGTTAATTCTAACAAATCAAAAGGGATTAGAAATTGAAGAAAGCACTGGACTGATCGTTATATGCTTCAGCAATCAGCCAATAGACAGTTATAATTAAAGCCATTCAGTAGTCTAATAAGCGTAAAATCTACTATGCTTGAGACTGTTTTCTATGAAATGCACCATCTTTGACGCATTTAATTGATTGTAAACAACAAGAGCGATATATTTCTCTTGGCAATTTTTATTCTCTGAAGAATTATTTGTTACGCGCTATTGATCTGCACCCTCTAATTAGCACTTTAATTAAATTGAATCGCACTGGAGCTGGGGCAGACGAAGTGTCATCATTTTCCATCTAATATCTGAATTAATGAATGAATGAACAGAATGAACGGAATGAAATGGAATTGCCATCAATTTGCTAGAGACCTAATGTTACTGCTTCGATACGTTTGACATCAACTGACCAAGAATTACATTGTTCGCCTGCCGAGAAATTCAATCAAAGAGTTTATTAAACAACCATTTCGTTGACAGTGTTTGACCATTCGAACAATTTCATTTGCTATGCGAAAGATAACAATATTCCGAGTGATACTTACTTTGCTAGAATTTCGGTTGGTCGAGATAATGTAATGTTTCAGTCACCGGTACAATGTGTCGGAAACATTGAATTGAATCAAAGAGAACTAAAACTCTGGTATTTTGTTATTTATTGTGGAGAACATACATTGATACGATATTATTTGTGCAGTTTCTGTTGCGCAATTGTAAACAATCCACACCATTTTGCATGATGGTATCGATGCAATAAATTTTGGTCAGATAGGAGGATACTGTAATGTCTATAGACTATGAATTAAACAAAAATCAGATTGAAACAACTAAATCAATATAATCCCCCTTTGAATGTTTACGGTAATTGTGGTCTCTCGATGAACGTTGTGTCAATATCCAACATGCAATTATAAACGAATTAGTGGAAAGATGCCAAGGTAATGAATAGAAATGCATTGTTTAGAGATAAGCAACAATGTGATACAATTTTGAATGAATATAACCATCAAATTATGACCATAGTTAATTGATTCTCATTGAAGATAGGAACTTACGACTTTAAACAAATATTCATATCGATACAAATAATCTGCGGATATGGTGTATAACTCGAGTATAATCTGCGACTATTTTACCATGAATTTCACGAATATGTCCTTTTTTATCTATATTTCGTATATATTTCGTATTCAATATCGTGTAAGAGTTTGAATACGACTATAAAATACATGTCTTTTGTCTTATTCAACCCAAATTAGAGTCTTAATCTGAAAGTCCATTGAAATTCCGATCGAATGAAAGATTTTAAAGACAGTATCTGGCCGGCATATGTTCATTTTTGGCCATTGAAGAATGGATGCCGAAATTGCGTTTTTTAACAGGCCGTCAGATTGAAAAGTTATATACATATTGTATATTTCGTATATATTGCGTATATTTCCATAATCTGTGTATAAGATAGAATAAATATTAAACCCCCTAGCATTGGATGCTATAGGCTTTTGCTTGTAAATCCCGACGATTGCTTGTGTTAATCGAGTGAAAAGCACTTTGAATTTCCAACGCATTACTTCAGTAGATCAAATATTAGAAAAGATTCAACACCTTTGACCTATGCTCAGCAGACAATGACATTTTCCGGTGTCGAAACAGACGTAAAATAAAAACGTAAACAGACGTAAAATATAAAATCGATGAAGACTTTTTCAGTTCTTTGGAAACGTATTCAGATATATTTTGGGAAAATTCGATGAACCATAATTTTGAAGTGGTATTCAACTTTTGACCAACTCGAATGTCCATACATTTTGAACAGAAACAACAGGAAAATCCATTCAAGTCATCAGAAGTGAATACTGATTTATTTATGAAAGTAAAGGATTTCTCATTTGACAGTCAATGTCGATTTCGATTTGGATTTGATGAATGGCAATCAATTAATAAATCAAAACCAAGACAGCAGATTGTGTTGTCGACGTAACGATTCCTTAACTACATTTGTTGGAGAAACTGTTGTTTAGTTATTGTCATAATGGGGTTTGATATGAGACAAAAAAGAATCCATTTCACTGTTACCAATGCAACTGTGAACAATGGTTGAATAACAACCTTCATCCATAAAAACTGAATGGAATTCATTGAAAAGCGATGTCATTAGGAACAATAAGGTAGAGAAGAGAGGTGAGAAAACAGAACTTGCGACACTTCATACATTTTTAATTAATTGTTATGATTTGGTTGAAAAAGAAAAAAATTGAAAAATCCACTTGGATCCGAGACTATAAATTAGAACGCTTCAACCGGAATTGAGTTCAGTTCAATTTAAATCGAGACATCGGTAACAGTATTATTTCCGACTAATCGCCTCGGTAACGCTAAAAAATGTCTTACATAAAGTTTTTGTTGATGTTTCTTCGTATCCACGGATTGTTACCACCCCAAACGGTTAACAAAGCTGGTATCTTAGACACTTTACGAATAATTTGCTTGGCATTACCGCCATGGGTGGTTTTATTCATGAGCATCGCATACGCGTATGTGAATTTCAGAACGGCCAGCTTGGCCGATATGACGGACGTTATGTGCACAAATTTTATTTGTTTAATTGTCGTCATCAACAACATTATACTTGCTATCAAAAAGTTCGAAATACGTGCCATTGTCACTGAAATGCGAGAAATGGTGCAAAAGCGTATGTCAAGTGTTTCCTTTTTTCTGTTGTTAATGTGACTGTTGTTGTTCGTTGCTTATTGCTGTCGGTCCATTTTCGTTCAAGTTTCAGTCCACTTCAATTTCTCACGTGACCGGCCATTAATATTGTCACCAAGTATCATTTATTTTAGGACGAGCTGCTGGACACTTCTACAATCATCTATACGAACGTGCCGACAAACGTTGTGATGCAATCGTTAAAATGTTCTTATTTACGTATGCCATTGCTGTATCTGGTGTAATGCTATTGCCAATATTAAGGCCACTTCATTATTGGGCGACGGGAAGATATCCATTCGAATTGTGGTTCATTCCATACAAGGTTTAGTGAGTAAATTGATTCAATGATGAACTAACCGCAAAGATAATCAACATTCTTCATCGTCCTCCTCCTCCTCCTCCTCCTCCTCCTCTTCTTCTTATTCTTCTTTTCTCGTTTCACGTTTCTCTTTGCTTGAGGTTTTGCCGTTGCTGTTGCAAAATAGTTTGCCAAATGACTTTATGCGGTCCACTGTCGGGTGGCTGCTAGTGTTGATGTCCCAAGAGATTGGTAATGTTTGCTCTTGCATTACCGTTACCGTGTCGATGTCATTGTATTCGTGCTTAATGATTTACCTGGGTGCATTTTTGGACGATGTATCATCATCGTTTCGCCACTTAGACGATTTAAATGCTAAGCGCCTCGAAGTGGGCAAAAGGCGTGACAGAGAAATGAAAGAGTATTTCGTGGAAACTCTTGATTTACATAATTGGGTTTTGCAGTAAGTTCTGAGCGTCCCTTTCTCTCCCTCTCTCTCGGAACTATTCATTAAAGTTAAGAAAGATTTCACGTTTTACCGTTTGCTTTTTACCGTATCAAAATAGATTTCGCTCAAAAGTGTCTGATCTCGTATCGCCGTACGTTTTTTGTTGGATTTTTAACGTTGTTGGCATCCTCAGTA